TCTGGGGGTAGATACCCAAAAGAGGGGTTGCTGGGTCATATGGTAACTCTATGCTTAATTTTTTGAGGAATCTCCAGAATTTTTGGTTTTGATGTAGTCCAATCTATCTATTTTTATTCTGTTGCCTGTGCTTTTAGTGTCACATCCAAGAAATTATTCGCAAATCCAAAGTCATGAACCTTTCCCACTATATTTTCTTCTAGGTGTTTTATAGTTCAGCTCTTACTTTTGAGTTATTGATCCATTTATGTTCCTTTTTGTACATGCTGTAAGATAAAGATATCCAAGTTTTGCCAACACCATTTGTTGAAAGGACAGTCCTTCCTCATTAAATGGACTTGGCATCCTGGTCAGAAATCATTTGACTATATAAACAAGGATTTATTTCTGGGTTCTCTAGTATATTCTGTTGATTGATATGTCTATTTTTTATGTCAGCACTATATTTTTTTGACTGCAGTAGCTTTGTAAGAAATTTTGAAATCAGGAAGTGTAAGACTTCCAACTTTGTTATTTTTCAAGTTCATTTTAGCTATTAGAGGATTCCTTTAGAGTCTACATAAATTTTGGATAAGTTTTTCTATTTCTGCAAAAAAAATGTTTTGAAGAGTTTAATAAAGATTGCACTAAATCTGTAGATGGCTCTGGGTAGTATTAACATCTTAACTATATTGTTTTCCAATCCATGATTGTGAGATGTTTTTCCAATTACTTGTGTCTTCTTTAATTCCTTTCAGCCACATTTTCTAGTTTTCTATGTATGAGTCTTTTGCCACCTTAGTTAAGTTTATTCCTAAGCATTTTATTTTTTATGACATTGCAAATGGAATTTTTTCTTAATTTCCAGAAACACCTACCCTCTACACTTCAAGCAGCCCTGCATGACACACAATGAATTACCCATGCTTTTATAATAAAATAAAATACATTAAATTCACAACATGAAAAAATGTGTTGTTTGTTTTCATGTTTTGACAAGTAATGCAGTCAGATGAACAAATAAAAAGAAAGAGAAGATGTCTGAGTATGAATATTTGTCTATATACTTCATTTGTTTGCTGGCTCAGTATCTCATACTTGGAGAAAAAGTTCATTCTTATCCATGTGACTTGCTGTGGCTATAAGATAACTAGAAGAATTAAGCAAGCAGAAGCTTCATTAGTGCTTGCACATTGCACTTGTGCTTTTCAAATCCACCTGCCATGGCATAAAGTTATCCCCCTTGAGGAAGACTGTGCAAAGAGGCCCTGGAGAATGAAGCACCCTGTGAGGAGAAAATCCATGTGGACCACCAAGGTGCTCCAGCTGAGCTCCCAACTGAGAGCAGCTGTATGAGTGAGCAGAAAAACCACTTCCCAGGCTGGCTTAGCTACTGCCCCTGTGGAATGTGAGAACTTCCAGCAATGAAGATCAGTGTAGATCTGTTGATACACCATCATTCCTCAAGGAAACTAATTGATGACCTGATGGAAAGCTAATTACATCAACTTCCATGCTGGAAGGGCAGAGATTTGTTCTAACAAGACTAGATACACATTCCAGATATGAATTTGCCTCTCTTGCCAACAAAGCCTCCTCCAGAATCACTATGTGAAGCTAAAGGAATTGGAAGCTAAAGGAGTGTTTGATTCACTGACATGGGATTCCATAATCAGGGGTGTCCAACTTACAGCCCATGGGCCACATGCAGCCCAGGATGGCTATGAATATAGCCCAACACAAAATTGTATTTAAAACTTAAACTCAAAACTTTGTGAGACTTTTTGTGATTATGTATTACAATGTATTTAATGTGTGGCCCAAGACAACTCTTCTTCTTTCAGTGTGACCCAGAGATGCCAAAAGTTTGGAAAGCCTTGCATACATTAAATATTGTGTCATAACAGTGGCCACCATTACAATGATATCAGTTATATCATGTGTTGTGCAACTCAGAAGCTGCGCCTTGTAGGGCAATGGAATAGCTTAAAGAAGTCACATTTAAAGCACAAACTTAGAGTCAATGCTCTATGAGATGGTCATCATTTGCTATGATGCATTATTTACATCAAATCAAAGACCTTTTTATATGGAGCTGTCTCTCCAGTAAGAAGCATACATTGTTCTGTGAATCAAGGAATGAAGCAGGTGTGATTCACTTACCATCATTCCAAACGACCCTCTGGAGGACTCTGTGTTCCTGTCTCTAAAACTGTAGTTTCTGAAGTGCTAGAGATCCTGGAACTGAAAAGGGACACATTTTTTTCAGGTGACACAGCAAGAGTGCCATTGAATTACAAGCTATGCCAGCTGCCTGGGTGCTTTGGGTTTCTTATAACCAGGGACCAGCAATAGAAGAGGAGTTATTGTCTTGCAGGGGTAATTGACCCTGGTCAACAGGAGGGAGAAAGAGTGCAGTTACATTTGGACAGGAAAAAAGATGTGTGGCACTTGTGTTCCACTTGGGCAACTTGTGGTACTCTCTCGCTCAGTTGTGGTGATACATGGACAAGTACAATAACCTTTTTGAAAAGGGCATGGTGAACAGAATTTAGACTTCACAAGGTTGAAGATCAAGGTCACATTACTGGGTAAACCACATAGACATGCAGAGGTGAGGGGAGGGAATCTTGAACAAACAGTGGAGGGAAGAAATGATGAATATCAGTTGTAGTACTGAGACCAGCTACAGCAATAGAGGTTGTAATTCATGCTTCTAAAACTGCTTCTTTTGTTTCCCCCCAGGAAGAGAGGCCCACTGGAATACTGGAGGAGCTTCTCTTCAAATGTAGATGAAGAAGTGTATTTGCGCAGCACAGTGATGCAGCAACTGGAGATGAACATGAAGATTCCCTTCAAGAAAAGACCCATCCCAGCTGCTGGGAATGCTGCAAGCAGACAGCCTATAGACATCAGGTCTTTCAGGGTTTGCCTGCAGAAAGCTGCCTTGACCAAGGTCATACATTCTGTTATGTAGCTCATTTCTGGTGGCTAATGGCTACATGGGCATAAGAGTCCAATGACTTAAGCCAAATGTTGGACAACACTGAAAGGCTGATTAAGAACTGGACTCCTTCATGGGATTGGCCGATGCAATGCACTTTGACTATCCCTCTGCCCAATTCTACTTCTTTCCCACTCCTCCAGAAGTGTTAAATAAATATCTTAGTGAATATCCTGCTTGACAAATTCTCTCAGTGTCTGCTTTGAAAGGCAGCTGCTGCCCCATCTTAGTAACTGGTAATGAGGCTGTAGCAAATAGTTTTAATTTGTTTGACATTCAGTGGCTCCTTTGCCTTCATCCAGGACCTCAGCTGGTTGAGATTTATTTACCTAGTGGGGTAACCCAAACACATATTCCTGAACCTTTGATGGTCTAGCCTTTTTTTCATTGCCATAGGTTTTTATTAACTTTCTCTATGGGACAAAGAAGTATTAAGAGGCATTCTGGGGAATTGCTTGGGTTCCAGACACAGTCATTTGTATTTTCCAAATACAGCTACACAATTTTTCCTGTCTCATATCCTCTTCAGTGTGGCCTTGTCACCTTTCCATCAAGAGGTGAAGTCTAATTTCCTCTCCTTATTCTGGGTTGTTCTTACTAAGTCCCTTGTAATCGACAGAATAGGCAGGAGTAATGCTGAGTAACTTCTGTGATGAGGCTGGAAGTAGCCTTACAGCTTCTGCCTTAGTTTCTTGGATGCTCCCTCTTGAAACTTTTCACCATTCTGAGAGAAGCCCAAGCCACACTGAAGACTGTATGTGCTCTGGTTGACCATCCCAGCTGTGTTCAGCCTTTAAGTCATTCCAGCCCAGTTATCAGACACCAAGTGAAGAAGCTCACAGATGATTCCAAGACCAGTTTATTCAAGCAGTTTATTCAAGTCATCCTTAGCCATTCAAGGTTTCTTGGCGAAGGCCCCAGTCATGGAACAGAGACAAACCATCTCTATTCTGCCTTCTCTGAATTCCTAACCCACAGGATCTGTGAGCATAACAAATGGTTGCTTTCTGTCACTCAATTTGGGGCAGTTTGAGTACAGCTGGAGAATACCAGAACTTTCTCCCTGACCCTGTTATGTGAGAATGCCCAATTTCTTTTTGGTAGTCAGAGTAAACACCCCCAGCCAGTACAATAACTTCCTATTTTCTCTAATGGTTTAGTGGCATAAGGAGTCCCAGACGGCCAGATGACTGTCTCAATTTCCAGTTAAATGGAGCCTTGGATGTCCCATGATGGAAGAATTCCTTCCCTGGGAGCAAAGGCCTAAAAATAAGCAGAGCCTAAAGTTATGGATGAAAAGCAAAAATTCTATGACTGGGTTATTAGATAGCATAGAGAAAGTAGCCCTTTCACCTCTTGATAACTGAACTTATATATCCTGCTTATGGAAGAAACAGTATGTAAACTGACTGTTAATTTAAAGCATAAACTACATTCTGTAAGAGAGAATCCTACCTTTTTGGTGTGTTATCTCTCAGCTGGCATCATAATTGGGTACTCAATAGGCCAGTCCACCCTTTATTAGGTTGGTCTTCCGAGTGAAATAGCAGCAGTTAGTGTCATGTGTGAATCCATTACTGTATTTTGTCATTGTGTCATTGTGGTTTCTTTCATGTGCATTGTGTGTTTTGTGTGTGTGTGTGTGTTGCCTCCCAGTTAGCATCACAGCTGGGTCTTCAGTAGGTAATTTCACCATTTTATTAGTCTTCTGAGGGTAAAACCAGTGAATCCCATATGTACGAAACTACTGCTGCTTCTTTTTTTTTTGCTATTAAATTAATTTATTGATCAGAGGCAAAACTGTAAAGAATACCATGAGAGCAAGCAATGCATTTTTTTGTGTGTGGCTTTTTTCAGTCTATTGCATGACAGCGTTACACTAGTCCAAGTTAAAAGCAGACCCCAAATAGTTACATCATACAAGCTGTGAGGTTTTTAAACTTGTGACAAAGGACAGAAAGGAAATTCTACTCATTGCAAGGAAATCCTCACTTAAGCTTCAGTGAGCCAAAAGCACTTAAAACCCATGAATCTTAACCAGTCCAGTCTCTACGAGGAACTGGCATACGTTCTTGCGCTGGTCACCCTGTAGCTGAATTACTTCTCCACATGCCAGATGCCCAATTACAGTACCATTGCAGGCTAATTTCTTCTTAAACGCCTTCACTAGTTTCTTTTTATCGTAATCAGCCACGATCCCTTGGACAGCAGTAAAGCTCTTCCTGCCGTTTCTCTGTTGAATTCCTATGTGCATATAATTCTCCGTGCCAGCAGGAATTAGATCATCGCTCTTACTTGCATCAGCAAAGGGGTCGAAAGAATGGAGGTTCTGGATAGCCGACATACTATACAATTCCTTTTCCTGGGTGGAAACGGCCTGCGGGAAGCTGTGGCGGGAGAAGGTGGGCAGGCGGGACAGAGCTTCGGGAAATAAGGGGGATCTTAAGGGGAAGGTTGCCGAGTCCTTGGAGGCCTCGGCGGCTCAGCGACTGGGGCCTAAGTAATGCATTCTTTAAGTTAAGAATAGCAATATTATAAGAAGCATTGTGTGTAGGAAAGGCACATTATATCCCAAAATACATATCTCTTCTTATGAGGACAAATCCCTGCAGCCTCCATAATATTTACACTGTTGATGCCTCTCTTTTTTAGTGATAGGCATCTTGCAATTTGGAGGAAATATTTTTTTAAGATTTTATTTATTTATTTTTAGAGAGGGAAGGGAGGGAGATAGAGAGAGAGAGAGAGAAACATCAATTTGCTGTTGCTGAGGGTCATGGCCTGCAACCCAGGTATGTACCCTGACTGGGAATTGAACCTGCGACACTTTGGTTCGCAGCCCGTGCTCAATCCACTGAGCTACGCCAGCCAGGGCTGGAGGAAATATTTTAACATGCTGAAAATACTGGAACTCCAGAAACTTAAAGTTGTTGGGCTCTGAATTCCATAGGGTTTGCCTCCCACCTTATAGCACTCAGGTTTCTAAGGCATCCAACATCCTTGTCACTGATGCTCATCAGGTTCAGTTGGCATGTTTTATCAATGTAGTAGAACAGTGTGATGTACTGAGATATCAAGATAGTCGAGATCTCTGCAAATTAGATTATGGCAGGTAGGAGAATTGACATTACCTTGGTATGATAACGTATGAAAATACACTATTGTGCCTACTAGGTGAAAGCAAACTGTTTGTGGAGGTCCTTGCAATTTGGTTATTAGAAAAATTGCATTTTCTAGATCAATAGGTGCTTACTCAGGTCTATGTGCTGAATTGTTCCAATAAAGATACCATATTTAGGTCCCATCCAGGCAACTCAGAGCATTGTCCCAATGCAACAAGGTTGTGGGTGTGATCCCCTGTCAGAGCTGATACAAGAAACAACCGATGAATGCAATAAGTTGTTTCTCTCTCGTCAATAATAACAATTTTTTTAAAAAAGATACCATATCTAGACTAGCAGCTACAACAGAAGTCACCATCTAGTTACATTTCTAATGAATAACAATCATTCTCTCAGGTCTATATGCCTTCCATACAGGCCAAATAAATAATTTTTATTAAGAATAAAGAAATTTATTTAAATTTCTATTTAAATAAATAAGTTAAATAAAGTTAAATAGAAATATATTAGGAACCCTCAACCTTGCATTTTTGGAATCTTTGATGTTGTCATTAATCTCTGCAATTCCCCTAGGGATGCATTATTGTTTATAATTTTTTTTAATTTACCATGTTAGCAGGAAGGAAAAATCCCAGGATCTTACTGTTGGCTCTTCCAATCATAGGAGCTTTCATTGAATGGATCAGAGATAAAGTGGGGATTCTTCCAGATACTGCTATATCAGCTATATTGGGGGTTGGCAAACTATGGTTGTAATTCAAATCTGGCCCACTTAGATGCTTCTGTAGATGTAGTTTTATTAAAACATAGTCATGCAAATTCATTTACATACTGTGGCTGCTTTCATGATAAAATGACAAAGTTGAATATTTTCCACAAAGACCATCTAGCCTGCAAAGCCTAAAATATTTACTCTCTAAGCATTTATAGAAGGTTTGCCAACCCCTCAATTATACAGTCAAGAACTAGAGTAAATACGACAAGGTTGGTCCATAGATTCACTGTCATCACAGTGAGATGGACCTACTTACAAACCCAATTTACCACTAGAAGCCCTTTGAACTGCAGCATAGTTATATATTAGATCTCCCAGAATTCTCAGCAAGTCAGAGCCAATATCTATCTACTAATCTACAAAAGATGCAGGCAATGGATCTGGATATTTCTCTTTCTAGATTCATAATACGTCTAGTAATGGTCACAGGGGACCATTACTGGGGAAGGCTTGGAGGAAGAAACACAACATTAACTTATGGCAGTGTTTCTGGGTCTTTCTCAAGGTGGTGTGGCCTACTCTTCATCAAGGGCTCCAGGTTTAATAACTGACGGTCCTAGAAACTGAGTGAGAGACTGTGTCACCACCCAGTCTCTGACCCAGACCTAGAGTTTCTCTTGTAATATTTAAGTAAGCCATCATCTTTTTTTTATTTCTAGGGACAATGTGAATGATTAGCCATCACCTAAAATCCCTGTGGGTCAAAACATTCTGATTAGCACTTCATCCCTGTTGTCTATTAGGATATGTTTACCCACTTTGACTCTGATAGTAAAGTTGGCTCTCATATCCAATATTCCATTGAAACCAGAAAGCCCACCTTGATGGCAACATCTTCCACTGTTATTTCTTTATGGAGAGCACTCATTTTCTTTTCATTCAGCTTTTCAAGAATGCTGATGTTCCCACTCACATTTCTCAGTGCAATACTGTGGAAGATAAAATGTTTGAATTTTTTGGTGCTTCTGCAAAAAGCACTAGCCTATTAAAACACACACACACACACACACACACACACACACAACTGTACAATATAAAGATGAAGTTTTTTCACTTCCTTTAGAAATATTTTACTCTTTTTGTTCCAAGAGCCATTTGTCCAGTTAACAGCTCTAATCTGAAAGGGTAATAAAACTCTTCTTTCCTCAGAAGGACCAGATCATTACAGCCCAGAACACTGCCTTTGGCTAAGCCCCAAGGCACTGGCAAAACTGAAGCACTACCTCCTTAGGAATTTGCACATTAAAAAGGGTGAAGCCTAGAATCTGGAGCCATCTCTGGGTGATGTTTTAGATTGATGATAGATGGATAGATCAGGTCATTGAAAAGACATATTTACATTCCAAAAGGTTAGGGTGAGACTAAGGACCCCTATGTTCGGTCTCCAAGGAGTTATTTTTTTTTTCCCTCTCTCCTTTTGGGAGAGGGGAGGAATGACTATCCTTCTCTTGACAAAGAGAAAATCCATTGATCTCCAATCTTTGTCTATAAGCTATAACCTGTTATGACATGGAAAGTTCCCATAAGCTCTCATTGCCCCACCTGTAGGACTAAGGTATGGGGTATTGAATACTAGTGCTTCAATGTTACTCTGGCTGTTGATCGGCCTGTATCAATGAAGAAGAGCTGTTTTCCCTGGCCCAAGTGCCATGTGTTCCTGCCGTATTCACAAACATAATGTGCATAACTGTGCGTGTGGAATAACATCTGAGATATTCCACAGTGTGTACACACAGTGAAGGGAATGTCCTCTGGGCCCTCTCAGGGTGTGTGTTTGGGGAGAGGGGTATAGTAGCACGTGTTTAACCTTCCTGTCCATTCCAACATTTCTCTCTTCCTTAGCCTTTATTTAAATTCCTTTCTCTGTGTTACAGTAGGAGGGTTTGGCAACTTAATTTTGTTGAATATAGACCACCAGTGAATCCAAATTTTAACCAACTAACCACTTAAATTGTTGAAACCACTCCCAAGTGCTCGAGCTAAGACACTGAATACAGAATCCCCAGTAAGTGCTCCCATTTCGTAAGGTGGCCTGAGGCCATGCCATGGTTTATTCGAACATTCCTAGAATCCAGTTCCAAACATATTTCCCAGGTCCCTACCAATATATAACAGTGAAACCTTGCAATTTTGGGAAAGTGTAAGTTCTCTTTTCCTAGGATGCACTTTGGGCTTTCCCCCATAAAACATGCTGAACTCTGACTCTAATTAGAGCTCTAAAAGCCAAAAGGAGTGGAGAGGCAGATATTGGAAAGAATAAGCATCTTCCTGCAAGGTAAATGCCTCAGACAAAGTTATTACAAGGAATAACTTATTCCTATGCCAGGGAAAGCTTATCTCCTCACACATACGAGGAAGTGTTGCTTCTATTGACAAAAAAGACTGGGAGATTCAAAGTTCTCAGCTTTATCTAAGCTGACCCAGACGCCTTGGTCCTTCCCAACCACTGCTCTTTCACCTGAAAGGCTTGACACATCTGTGAAGTCAACTTACATTATAAATTCCACAATCCACACAATTAAAATTTTATTTTCAGTGAGATATGCCTGCAGCTAAAAAAAAAAGAGAGAGAGAGAGAGTATTTGGGGGGGTTTCTCATAGATACACTCTGATTCTAGTTTGAGCTGAGTGTTCAGTAGTATTTTTTTGAAAGCCTAGATATATTTTATTTATTTTTAATATATTTTATTGATTATGCTATTACAGTTGTCCCATTATCCCCCCTTTGTTCCCCTCCACCCTGCACACCCTCTCCCACTCACTTCCCCCCTTTAGTTCATGTCCATGTGTCATAAGTTCTTTAGCTTCTACATTTCCCATACTATTCTTGCCCTCCCCTGTCTATTTTCTACCTACCATCTATGCTACTTATTCTCTGTACCTTTTCCCCCTCTCTCCTCCTCCCACTCCCCTGTTGCTGACCTTCCATGTGATCTTATTCCTGTGGTTCTGTTCCTGTTCTAGTCGTTTGCTTAGTTTGTTTTTGTTTTTGTTTTAGGTGTGGTTGTTAATAATTGTGAATTTGCTGGCATTTTACTATACATGTTTTTTATTTTCTTTTTCTTAGATAAGTCCCTTTAACATTTCATAAAATAAGGTCTTGGTGATGATGAACTCCTTTAACTTGACCTTATATGAGAAGCACTTTATCTGCCCTTCCATTCTAAATGAAAGCTTTGCTGGATAGAGCAATCTGGGATGTAGGTCCTTGCCTTTCATGACTTGAAATTCTTTCCAGCCCCTTCTTGCCTGTAAGGTCTCTTTTGAGAAATCAGCTGACAGTCTGATGGGAACTCCTTTGTAGGTTACTGTCTCCTTGTCTCTTGCTGCTTCTAGGATTCTCTCCTTCATTTTTACTTTGGCTAATGTAATTATAATGTGCCTCGGTGTATTCCTCCTTGGCTCCAACTTCTTTGGGATTCTCTGAGCTTCCTGGACTTCCAGGAA